GGAAGGAAGGAAGGAGGGAGGGAGGAGGTGAAGGGATGGGAAAGAAGGAAGGAGGGGAGGAGAGGAAGGGAGGAGGGAGCGAGGGAGGAGGGAGGGAGGGAGGGAGGGAAGGAAGGAGGTAGGTTGCATGGAGTCTTTCTCATAAATCAGTTGACAGTATATACATGTGGCTATGTGGCTGTCTTTCTGGACTCTATATTGTTTGGTTTTATTTATTCTCTTCTATGGACTGCTCTCTTGAAATCTGTAGTTTTAGTCCTCCTACTTTTTTTCTTTTCCAAACTATCTTGGCTATTATAAGCTCTTCCAATTTCCAAATAAATGTTAGAATCAACTTGCTAATTTTTACCTTATACCCCCCAAAGCCTTGCTGGGGTTTTGTTTACATAATCTATGTGTTCATTTTGGGGCCCGATGCAGTGGCTCACATCTGTAATCCCAGCACTTTGGGAGGCCAAGGCTGGAGGATTGCTTGAGCCCAGGAGTTTAAGACAAGCCTGGGCAACATAGTGAGACCCTGTCTCTACAAAAAAAAAAAAAAAAAAAAAACTAAAACCAAGCAAACACGCAAACAAACAAAGAAACAAAACCCCAAACACATAGCTGGACTTGATGGTGTGCTTCTACTCCCAGCTTCTCAGCAGCCTGGGGTGGGAGAATCGCTTGAGCCCCTCAGGTTGAGGCTACAGCGAGCTTTGATTGTGCCACGGCACTCCGGCCTGGATGACAAAGCAAGACCCTATCTCAAAACAAAAACAAAAACTGTGTTCATTTTGGGAGAATTGACATCAATATTCAGTCTATAGTACATATGGTATATGTCTACATTTGTTAAGATCCTTAATTTCTCTTACCAATTTGTTGTCGTTGTTAGCAACATTTTTTGCTAGCTTTATACCTGGGTATTTGATGTTTATTATCGAAACTCTGAATAGTATTTACATTTTTAAAAAATTTCCGGCCGGGTGCGGTGGCTCAAGCCTGTAATCCCAGCACTTTGGGAGGCCGAGGCGGGTGGATCACGAGGTCAGGAGATCGAGACCATCCTGGCTAACATGGTGAAACCCCGTCTCTACTAAAAATACAAAAAACTAGCCGGGCGTGGTGGCGGGCGCCTGTAGTCCCAGCTACTCGGAGGCTGAGGCAGGAGAATGGCGTGAACCTGGGAGGCGGAGCTTGCAGTGAGCCGAGATCGCGCCACTGCGCTCCAGCCTGGGTGACACAGCGCGAGACTCCGTCTCAAAAAAAAAAAAAAAAAAAAATTTCCAATTACTCGTTACTAGAAATGCAATTGATTTTTGTCTATTGGCCCTATATGAGACCATGTTATTTAATTCACTTGCTAATTTTAAGAGTTTATTGATTATTTAGGATTTTCTATGTCTGCAACTTATCATCTGTGAATAATGATCGTTTTATTTCTTTCCTACCAATCTTTGTACCTTTTATTTCTTCATCGTGCCCTATTGTACTGACCAAGCCCTTTAGTACATTGTTAAAAAGAAATGATGATAATACACATTATTCTTTTTTTCCTGGATTCAGGGGGACATTTTTCAGTGTTTCAACATTAGGTATAATATTAACTCTAGGATTTGATATTTTCCTACATACAAGCTAATACATTAGCCTGTTAGTTTCATGAGTGCTGGCAGAAAACATGAGACTCCTGGATCAGAGACAAAGACTTAATTACTCATGGCACAGCAAGCAGCATAGGCATCAGTGTTCATCAGTTCCTCTTTCTCTCAGCTCCCATGGGGACAACATGAGGGTCTATATGGATGCTATTCATGCAGTGCACAGGCATAGCCACTGAGGAACACTGAGCCTGAATAATCCATTGCTTTTATAGTCAGCAGTAAGCAAGCCTGCTGTTTGTGCTCTTACCTCTTCTCTCAAGGTTATCAGCTGCATAAATAACCCTGGGAAATGAGTAGTTAGAATTTTGCATTCTAGGCATACCCAGCAAGATGCCTAAGAATGTGAGAGACCCACGGTGACTGTCTTTCCCAACAGTAGGTATTTTGTAGATGCTACTCATCAAGTTGAGGAAGTTTTCTTTCTCATTTCGTTAAGACTTTTTTTTTTTTTTTTTTTTTACATTAATGAGGGCTGAATTTAAAAGAGAGGAGCAGATCCCCCATGCAAAAATTCAGTCTGGGAGGCTGCCCTCTGGGGCAAAGATAAGGAGTGTTGAGAATGCAACAAGCATGGTATGGAGCTGTTGAAGTGGGAATGTTTCATGCCATCCTGCTTGGAAGGTACAGCATTTGAAGACATCCCTTTAACCAGAGGAAGGCCAGGAGGAGAGACCAGAAAGGAGGGCTTAAAGTGAGCACTATACAAGAAGGAACTCTGTTCCCAGATCTTTCTGGATAATTTTTGACTCTTTAGTATCTAGCACGATGCCTGGCTATTATATATCATAGGCTATTTGGTTGATAAAAGAATACTAAGAGCATCATATGTAGTAGTAATAATAATAATATCAAAGGGTGCATTTAGGTTTTAAAGAAGAGACACTTGTATTCCTTTGGTATTCATCTGGGGAAGTACAGTGAGTGAGTGCCTGTGAGTAGAGGAAACCGTGAGGTAATTGACAACATGGTGCTACTTTCTGGGTGGTCAGTTTTACATGAAATAATTGATGAATTGTTTAATGATCAGGAAGCTTGGTGCATAGAGAATAATAGTGCTCTTTATAGTTTGTATAATTTTAAGTTTATTAAGTTCTTGTAGCTGATAAGCAAAACACCAAAGTTTTCGTAAACATTTAAATGTTGATCACTAATTCAGTTCTTCCCCTTAAACAATGTAGTCTTCCTTTAGTATAACTTATTCTTTCAGGCACTTTAAACATCTTCAAGTGAAGATGTTTATAAAGAATACACACAAGGCTGGGTGCGGTGACTCACACCTGTAATCCCAGCACTTTGGGAGGTCAAGGTGGGAGGATCACCTGAGGTCAGGAGTTTGAGACCAACCTGGCCAACATGGTGAAACCCCATCTCTGCTAAAAATACAAAATTGAGACGGACATGGTGGCGGGAGCCTGTAATCCCAGCTACTCAGGAGGTTGAGGCAGGAGAATACCTGGAACACGGGAAGTGGAGGTTGCAGTGAGCTAAGATCCTGCCACGGCACTCCAGCCTGGGTGATAGAGCAAGACTCCATCTCCAAAAAAAGAAAAAAAAAAAAAGAATAACATACAATTGGCCAGATAGGGTGGCTCACGCCTGTAATCCCAGCACTTTGGGAGGCCAAGGCAGGCGGACCACTTGAGGCCAGGAGTTGGAGAACAGTCTGGCCAACATGGTGAAACCCCATCTCTACTAAAAATACAAAAACACAAAATTAGCCAGGTGTGGTAGCACACGCCTGTAATCCCAGCTACGGGAGGCTGAGACAGGAGCATTGCATGAACCCCGGAGGTGGAGGTGGCAGTGAGCAGAGATCACACCATTGCACTCCAGCCTGGGCAACACAGCAAAACTCTGTCTCAAAAAAAAAAAAAAAAAAGAATACATAGAATTGTTACAAGTTTATTGCTACACTTACACTTAAAAGCTATTCTAAAATATCAGTGATGTGAGTTTAGTTCATTTCTACATTACTTTATACTTTTTAATACCTATTGTTACTGTTATTAATTTTAGTATCTTCCTGAGGTTTCAGTAATATTATTTTTTATTTTCTGGGTTTCAATTATCTTAAGTCAAGACCGATTAACCCCAAAAGTCTTCTCAAAGTAAGCAAAGGAGTTGTTTTTTTGTTAGCACTTGCGACGTGATTGTACAATCCAAGCACATTGAAAACTGGTTTGACCTAGGTATATCCAAACTTAAAATGTGTATTATCTTTGAGCAATTATGCTTTTAGGAATTAATTGTGAAGAATTCATATATGAGTAAAATGATACATACACAAGGATATTTATTACAGCATTGTTTTTTATAATGAAAAACTAGAAAAAGCCTAAATGATGATTGGCCACAGATTGGTTAAATAAATTATGGCCAGGTGCAGTGGCTCATGCCTGTAATCCCAGCACTTTGGGAGGTAGAGTCGGGCGGATCACAAGGTCAGGAGATCGAGACCATCCTGGCTAACACGTGGAAACCCCATCACTACTAAAAATACAAAAAATTAGCCAGGCCTGGTGGCACACGCCTGTCGTCCCAGCTACTCAGGAGGCTGAGGCAGAAGGACGCGGAAGTTGCAGTGAGCCGAGATTGCGCCACTGCACTCCAGCCTCAGCGACAGATGGAGACTCTGTCTCAAAAGGAAAATAAAAAAGTTAAGTTATATCCATTTAATGGACTACAGTGTGGCTATTAAACCAGTTATGTAACACAATATGTACTCATTGGGACCTCATTCCAAGATACATTAAGTAAAAATAGCAATGTGTATAAGTAGTGTGTATAATATAAGTTAAAAAAATCTTTATGGCCGGGCGCAGTGGCTCAAGCCTGTAATCCCAGCACTTTGGGAGGCCGAGTCGGGCGGATCACGAGGTCAGGAGATCGAGACCATCCTGGCTAACCCGGTGAAACCCCGTCTCTACTAAAAAATACAAAAAACTAGCCTGACGAGGTGGCGGGCGCCTGTAGTCCCAGCTACTCGGGAGGCTGAGGCAGGAGAATGGCGTAAACCCGGGAGGCGGAGCTTGCAGTGAGCTGAGATCCGGCCACTGCACTCCAGCCTGGGCGACAGAGCGAGACTCTGTCTCAAAAAAAAAAAAAAAAAAATCTTTGTATGTGTGTGTGTGTGTATATATAAATATGTATTTTCCAAGCCATGTTGAGTTGCCCTAATCCATCCTGTTCCAGTTATAGCCTGGTATCTTTGAAGCTAGGGATGATAGAGACATTTGCCCATTCTCCTCACTGATACCCTGCAAGCATTTCTGAAGCATGAACAGAAGGGAAATGATCATTCTGGGCCGGAGCTGTGAGGAAAGTGGGGTCTTATCTATCTTCTTTTGCCTCTCCCAGCTCTACTCTTCTCCAAAAGAAGAGCCAAGAGAAGGTCCTTTTCTACAAATATCAGAGCCATGGCTCAGGTGAGATACTGTTTCCTTTTGCTCAGATAGAGTGATTTTTACCTCTAGTACCTGTAAACATTTGTTTTCCTCATTATGATGCTTTTTGATGTTAGAAAAACAACACCTTTCAGAAAGTTTGGTTATGAGCAATGCCGGAATTTTGCTGTAAAGGAAAGGATCTCTAACAGGCCAATTCATAGAAAAAAAAGAATTGCTTAGATAATCATTGTTAGAAAATTTACACACACCCCCCTTTTTTTTTTTAATTTGAGATGGAGTCTCGCTCTGTCTTCTAGGCTGGAGTACAGTGGCACAATCTCGGCTCACTGCAACCTCTGCCTCCCGGGTTCGAGTGATTCTCTTACTTCGGCCTCCTAAGTAGCTGGGATTACAGGCGCCCACCACCACACCCAGCTAATTTTTGTATTTTTGGTAGAGATGAGGTTTTGCCATGTTGTCCAGGCTGGCCTCGAACTCCTGACCTCAAGCGATCCACCTGCCTCAGCCTCCCAAAGAGCTGGGATTACAGGCATGAGCCACTGTGCCCAGCAAAAAATTTATATTCTTAACTCACAGTTACGTATTAGTCAGCCAAGTGGTTGAATAACAAATTTCTCTGAAGAAGTTTTAATTTAGATTAATGTCCATCAGAAAAATCCCCTATCAATTGCATCAAGAATACTTATTTCTTTCCATAAAGAGATTAAGAATTATGTAATGTAAAAATGATCTGACCCAGATCAGGTGTGGAATAATTTTTTTACACTGGTTTCCAGGGCCCCCGTCAGGAAAAGGACATGCATTTCCTCCTAAACAACCCCAGTCTCCTCTCCAGTTACCCCCGCTTTTAAACAATGTTTACATACTCGTTTACGAAGTCCTTCAGCATCTCCTATCTCAGGCTTCTACCAAAAATCCTGATAGGACAGAAATGTGTTCCCCACATTGAATTAATATGAATCTAATTTGCTTGGACAGTGATTTGATGGGATGAAAATAAGTAATTAGGGGCACCTTATAGGGAAAAGCCCTCATTAGCTCCGTAGACCTGGGTTTTCCAATAAGAAAATACATGCTGTGGTTTTGTTTGATTTCAGTCCTAGTACAGGGCAAGGCCTCCTGGTTAATGAGCCTTTTATGTTCGAGAGTGTGACTAGTGGTTCGTACAAAGCTCTCACACCTCACTAAGCATCCATGAAAAATTGACGTCAGTGGCCAAATGTGGTGACTCACACCTGTAATTCCAGCATTTTGGGAGGTTGAGGCTGGTGGTTTGCTTGAACCCAGGTGACTAGCCTGGGCAACATGGCAAACCCCGTCTCTACAAAAAAATACAAAAATTAGCCAGGCCTGTTGGTGCACGCCTGTAGTCCCAGCTACTCGGGAGGCAGAGGTGGGAGGATCACATGAGCCCAGGAAGTCATGGCTGCAGTGAGATGTGATCATGCCACTGCACTTCAGCCTGGGTGACAGAAGAAGACCCTGTTTGAAAAACAAAAACAATGATGTCACTAATACCAACGGTGAAACTGGATCATCCCTTCACTAATTTTCTGTAGCTTAGTTATAAGGGGAATTTACAGCTGGGCAGTAGGTGGTTATAAATAAGATTGGGCCAGTGTTGGAGAGGTCTTTAAAGATCACCTGCAGCCTGAATTTCTAAAGGCCAAAGAACAGATATCATTTATAGGCTTATAATAAATATTATTCAAATTATGTTACAACAAATTTGAATAGTATTTGTTTTAACAAGGAACATTTATTATTGTATAATAGTCTGGCATAGGAATGGATCAGAGTCTTAAATTATATGCTAATTTTATTTTCTAAGATACAAATTTTTTACAAGTAATTTTACACATGTCTACAAGGGAAGTAGTTCATTTCTGGTTTTGTCCCATTACCAGTCCCACTCCAAGCAACTCTTGAAAATTGGTTTACTACCATTTTTTGATAAACCCACTTTAGTCATTATCTCTCGATTGATTGCAAAGTTAAAGGGAACATTGTATTCCCATACTGCACTTTCATTTTTCCTGACTGTTACCATATCACTGTTTTTGGTTAAATCAACAGTATACACCTTGTTATGGCTGCAAATATTATCTCTGCCAAGCGAGCTCATAGTTTTGTTCCACACAAACCTTCGTTTTCCTGGGGTTAATTGCTTTCCCCCCATTTTCTTAGTCATTTGTGTGTTTACATCCAGAATCTCCAGCATCACTGCCACAGGCCAGTCAATACGTTTTCCCTCTGGTCAGACACATCAGTTCCTTTTGATGTAGAGACTTGCTTCCCCATTTCCTGTGTCCTTGTTCCCATCTGGTCTGGTTTACTCTCTCAGTCACAGCTTTCCTGAGACTTTACCTATTTCCTGAATCCTATGTTGTCTTCTTTTTTTATTTACTCCCTCGTTTTTGTGGAGCATATCCTCTAGAAGTTTCCGAAGAAACTCTTCTTGAGTCCTTGGATGTCTACAAATGTCTTTTCTCAACACGCAAAACAGAATGATAGTTTGTTTATGAAAGGCTAGGTCAGAGTTTATTTTCTCCATATTGAATATTGAAGAATTGTTCTTATTGTTTCTCGCTTTTAGAGGTGTTCTTGAGAATTCCATTGCCACGCTAAATTTTGATGCCTTTTATATGACCTGCTCTTCGCTCTGGAGGCTTTTAATGTCTTGTCTTTCTCCCTTATTCTGAAATTTGACTTTCAGCTATTTGGGAAAAGAGAGGGAGACAGATCAAATGTATTGTTGATTTATTATATGACAGGTATAGTGCAAGGCATTGCATATACAATTTCATTTAATTGGGAAAGCCCTCTTAGCTGAATTTTTATACCTTCCCAACCTTGTTTGGATAATGGAGGTATCCTCCCGTACTCAGGCAGTTTCATCTGGAGGAAAAAGAATGACATGGAAACCCAGTGATTCAGTTGTGCTTATTTGATTACAGTCCTCCACTGCATCCCAGGCATTCATATGCTATGTTTTACTTCCTCTACTTTAATCTTTTTCTTCTCTCTTTCCTTCACAAAAATACTTTTTTTTTTTTTTTAATTAATCAAGTCATATACGTGGTTATTGTTCCAGGAGTCAGTGATGTTCAGTGATGTGTCCATAGACTTCTCTCAGGAGGAGTGGGAGTGCCTGAATGATGATCAGAGAGATTTATACAGAGATGTGATGTTGGAGAATTACAGCAACCTGGTTTCAATGGGTAAGGACATCTGTCCATAGTAATTTAGATTCTGCACTTGGAAGGGCTACTTCCTCCAATGTGAAATGCTCACCTGGCTTTCAAAAACCAGTCAAATTTTGACATCCTGTTCTCACAGGAATGTTCTGAATATGATAGAGTTAGAAAAAGGAAGCTGCATTGAGTTTTGGGGGATGTTTTACATCTTCCGTTATGTTTCACAAGTCCGTTGTACCTCTCTTTGACTCTTCTCGTAGTGCCATGTCTTTCTTTATAATGAAGGGACTAGATTTTAATTCTAGGATATTCTCATGATAAATTTGTTTTGTCACTTCTTTTGTAAGCAGGGCATTCTATTTCTAAACCAAATGTGATCTCCTACTTGGAGCAAGGGAAGGAGCCCTGGTTGGTTGACAGAGAGCTAACAAGAGGCCAGTGGCCAGGTAAGTGAGGCACAGCAGGTAATGTGTGATTTGGCCAGTAGAGAGACTGCGTCTTTTAGATGCTATCTGGGAAACTCCCCTCAAAGGCTTTTGGCCTGTTGTGCAAATGTAAGACCTTTTCTACATGAGCTTTCAAATGATCCTACCTTTCCCCCTTACCTAACACACTTTGCCTGCTTTTCTTCTCTTATTCTTCTCTCTCAGTTCTAACCAGCTGGTGCCCTCCTCTACCCTTTCTAGTGATATTCCTTTCTATCCATATTTTGGGCCCATTTCCTTCCTAGCTTTTCATCCCCCTTTGTATTTAGTCTAATAAAAGCATCACTGTCTCCAGAAAGAGATTTTTTCCTGCACTGCCGGAGACTTATTTTCTTTTACGAAGTTTTTTTGGGATGGGGTTTATGCCCTCATTGATTCATTAATATTTTTTACCAACATCTACTGATTTGCACCCACTCGGCTAGGTGCTGCAGAGTTTAAAAAAGGAATAAGCAATTTCAGAACTTACTGCCTAGTAGAAGTACTAGAACATGTCTACAAATAACTTCTACAAAATAGAACCACCATAAGTGAAGTTAAAATAGGGAGCTTAGCAGAAAGCGAGGGCTAACGATGTAGAAGAGGAGTTGATCCACATAGAAGTCATAGGGGGAGATTTTGGTTGTGAGCGTCATTGACTTTATATAGAGGGTTGGAAATAAAGGGCTTGTGTCTCCATGGAGAAGGTAAGAGCTGGCAAAGAGAGATTTGGTATGAAGGGGAGGAGAGCACATTCATTCATTTAGTTTATGTTTCTGGAGTGCCTATGGTATGCCCAGCACTATTCTCAACACTGAGGTTACAGTAATGAATAGAACATGTGTGATTGGGTGCAGTGACTCACGCCTGTAATCCCAGCCCTTCGGGAGGCTGAGGCAGGAGGATTGCCTGAGGTCAGGAGTTTGAGACCAGCCTGGCCAACATGATGAAACCCCATCTCTACTAAAAAATACAAAAATCAGCCGGGTGTGGTGGCAGGCACCTATAATCCCAGCTACTCAGGAGGTTGAGGCAGGAGAATCACTTGAACCCAAGAGGTGGAGGTCGCAGTGAGCCAAGATCATGCCACTGCACTCCAGCCTGAAAAAAAGGAAAAAAAGAACGTGCATAATCTGTGTTCCCACAGCCTACCCCACAGTGTAGGGAGAGATATGAAAATAGATGAATATGTAACATACCAGGTAATAGTAAATACTAAAAAGAAATAAGAAGTAGAGGAAAGGGATAAAGGATGATATTTTATGTGAAGAAGCAAGAGAAATTTACCATATCTTACCAAATGATATGGTAACATTTGGGCAGAGACCCAAAGAAGTACCACGGTAAGTCATTGTATATGGGTACGAGGCGGAAGACTGCTCCAGATGGAGGAACGCAGACCTTCAAAGGCCTGAGGCAACTGTGCATTGGCTGTGTTTGAGGAGCAGCACCAGAGGGCAGTGACTGGTAGCAGAAGGGTACCTGGGTGGGAGATGAGATCAAAGAGGCAGGAGTGGGAAAGAGTGGGTCAGTTTATGTACAGTCTGCCATACAGGCCATGGGAAATCTTTTCATTCTAAGGCAAGAAGTCATCAGAAGGCTTTGCACCTAGAAATGGCTTGATGCAACTTATTTTTTTGTTTGTGTTTTTTTTTTTGAGACAGAGTCTTGCTCTGTTGCCCAGGCTGGAGTGCGGTGGCATGATCTCAGCTCACTGCAACCTCCACTTCCCAGGTTCAAGCGATTCTCCTGCCTCAGCCCCCTGAGTAGCTGGGATTACAGGCGCATGCCACCATGCCCGGCTAATTTTTTTGTATTTTTTTAGTAGAGATGGGGTTTCACCATGTTAGCCAGGATAATCTCGATCTCCTGACCTTGTGATCTGCCCACCTCAGCCTCCCAAAGTGCTGGGATTATAGGCGTGAGCCACCATGCCTGGCCATGTTTTTGTTTGAGATGGAGTCTTACTCTGTCACCCAGGCTGGAGTGCAGTGGCATGATCTTGGCTCACTGCAACCTCCACCTCCTGGGCTCAAGCGATTCTCGTGCCTCATCCTCCAGAGTAGCTGGGATTACAGGCGCACGCCACCACGCCCAGCTAATTTTTGTATTTTAGTAGAGACAGTGTTTCACCATGTTGGCCAGGCTGGTCTCGAAATCCTGACCTCAAGTAATCCTCCCACCTCAGCCTCCCAACGTACTGGGATTACAGGTGTGAGCCACTGCACCTGGACTTGATGCAACATGTGTTTTAAAAGGATTTCCCTAACTGCTTTGTAGGAGACAAGGTTGGAAGCAGAGTGGCTGTTTAGCAGATTTTTATAGTAGTCTGGTTGGAATACAGTGATGGCTCAGAGACCATTGAAATGTTATCAGTGGCAGTGGAAGGAAGCGGTGGGTTTGAAATCTTTTCAAGGAAGAGTTAGCAGGATTCAGTCTTGGAGTATAAGAGGAAAAGGATTCATGCTTTTTAGGGAGAGCCTATGGAAGAATGGGCTTTGTAATTACTGAAATGGGGAAAGAGTAGATTTGGGGGTTGCAAAATCAAGGGTGAGTTCGCTTATGTTAAGCTTCAGTTGCTTATTGGACGCAGCATAGATGCCATGCAGGCAGTTCAGTATAGAAGTCTGGAACTGGGAGGTCAGATCAGCGTTGGAGGAAAATTTGGAGAGCCTTCAATATAGAGATATAGAGTCTTGTGACTGGATGAAATCTCCTAGGGAATAAATATAGCAAGGACAGAAACCTGAAGCACCCTAATACCTAGAGGTTTACAGCAGGAGAAGATATGGCAAGGAAATGTAGGTTGAGAAGACAGCAGGATGGAAGGTGAACTCAGGAACTCAGAAAGAAAAGTGCGAGAAAGATCTGGCCATGAAGATTAGATAGGTATGTAATAGTTTCTACATGCATTTTCTCATATAATTCTGTTTTTTTCTTTTAGTACAGTTCAAGTACTTATACTTACATAGTTAGGCTGTTTTCTAATCAATGCTTGTTTGTAAAAGCACCATTCTTTATGTAAAAGCACAACTTTATGCATATAGATTTTTCTGTATTTGCTTAGGATAGATTCTCAGAGACAAGATATTTATGAAACTTTCAGACACAATGTTTGGTAGTATTCATTTCATTGTACTCTTTAAGAATGGTTAATTTTTATTTGAAATAAATGTTTTCGCTCATTTATTTTACAAGTCATAGAATGTTGTTTTTCTTTTTTTTTTTTTTTTTTTTTGAGACGGAGTCTAGCTCTGTCGCCCAGGCTGGAGTGCAGTGGCCAGATCTCAGCTCACTACAAGCTCCGCCTCCCGGGTTTACGCCATTCTCCTGGCTCAGCCTCCCGAGTAGCTGGGACTACAGGCGCCTGCCACCTCGCCCGGCTAGTTTTTTGTATTTTTTAGTAGAGACGGGGTTTCACCGTGTTAACCAGGATGGTCTCGATCTCCTGACCTAAAGTGCTGGGATTACAGGCTTGAGCCACCGCGCCCGGCCAGAATGTTGTTTTTCATTGTGAAAATTTTCAAAACTACATGCCACTCATCTACCCCTATTGTTGCACAAATATTTTCTTTTTTTTCTTTGTTTTCGAGATGAAGTTTTGCTCTTGTTACCCAGGCTGGAGTGTAATGGTGTGATCTCAGCTCACTGCAACCTCCGCCTCCCGGGTTCAAGCGATTCTCCTGCCTCAGCCTCCCGAGTAGTGGGGATTACAGGCACCCGCCACCATGCCTGGCAAATTTTATTGTATTTTTCATAGAGATGGGGTTTCACCAGCTTGACCAAGCTGATCTCGAACTCCTGACCTCAAGTGATCCACTTGCCTTGTCCTCCCAAATTCTGGGATTGCAGATGTAAGCCACCGCACCCCACCGCAGATAATTTCAAGTAAATCCAGAACCTCATGTCATTTCACCCTTGCATAATCTCATTATGTAATTCTAAAAAATATGGGTATTTTCTCCCTTATATAACTTTACTGCAAAGTTATATAAATTTTACAGTGATTTCTTCGTATACTGGACTGCTTTATTGTCATTATATTGAGTACTTGTGAGAGTGGACGTTTTCACCATAGCATAATTAACTTGTTCATTTCTATATTTCATACTTTTAATCTGTTACTGAGTTTATTCTTTCAGTTTTTATGGACTTTGCAAAATAATAACATTTACCTATTGGTTTCCAGAGGGTGCTTTTACTTTTTTTTTGAAACAGGGTCTCACTCTTGCCCAGGCTGGAGGGCAGTGGCACTATCATGGCTCACTGCAGTCTTGACCACCTCTTAGGCTCACGTGATCCCCCCACCTCAGCCTCCTGGGTAGATGGGACTACAGGTGCATGCCACCACACCTGGTTAATTTTTTGTATTTTTTGTAGAGATGGGGTTTTGCCATGTTGCCCAGGCTGGTCTGGAACTCCTGGGCTCAAGTGATCCCACCGCCTCAGGCTCCAAAAGTGCTGGGATTACAGGCATGAGCCACTGCTCCCAACCTAGCTGCCTAATTTTTTAGTTTTTCTAAGACAGAGTCTAGCTCTGTGATCCAGGCTGGAGTGTAATGGCGTGATCTGGGTTCACTGCAACTTCTGCCTCCAAGATTGAAGCAATTCTCATGCCTTAGCCTCCCGAATTGGGACTACAGGCGCGTGCCAGCACGCCCAGCTAATTTTTTGTATTTTTAGTAGAGACAGGGTTTTGCCATGTTGGCCAGGCTGGTCTCTAACTCCTGGCCTCAAGTGATCCTCCCACCTGAACCTCCCAAAGTGTTAGGATTACAGGAGGGAGCCACCTCGCTCAGCCGAGCTGCCTAATTTTAACTTTTCTTCAACACTTGTATTTGTTTACAATTTCACCAGCAGTATATGAACATTCCCATTGTTGCACATGCTTCCTAATATACGGTATTATGAAACTTTGATTTTTTTTTTTTTTTTTTTTTTTGAGATGGATGTTCGCTTTTACTGGCCCAGGCTGGGAGTGC